TTCTAATGTACATTAAAGCTATTACACTATTAAACTCCTGCTTCAGCTGAGCCCTCTGAGTTTTGAAATAAGTTTTCATTTTCATTTAGTCCTATGCACTTTTAAGTTTCTTTTAAAATGCCCTTTTCACTTGGTGGGTTGTTTAGAAGTGGGGTGCTCAATGAACCACATGTTTAGACCCCGCACCCCTATCCCCGTTGTTTGGTGTGAATTCCCAGTTTGACTCCACTAGTCTGGGAGATTGGTGTTATTTTTATTTTGTTGATGTGTGTTTGTGGTCTCATTTCTAAAGGGTCTGTTTTGGAGAGATGTATTCAGCCGCTGTTGGTTGGAGTGTCTTACACATACCAGTTAGAGTCCACTGGGCAGTTCAGCCCTTCTACTTTTCTGCTGATCCTCTAATCAATCACTCTGCTGTTATCAGTTGCTGGGAAGGGACCCTGAAGTCCTCAGTGGAATATATTCCCAGTTCCTCTGACCCATTTGGATCACATTCAACTCCCTCGTAATACCAGTCTTAGTGTAGAGTGTGGGAGGAAAGGCTAAGTCCCTGGAGGTCTGGCCTCAGAAGCGCTCTCTCTCTCTCTCTCTCTCTCTCTCTCTCTCTCTCTCTCTCTCTGTGTGTGTGTGTGTGTGTGTGTGTATGTGCGTGAAATCCCCTTCCATTGTCTCATTTCATAGAAAAGAGAAAAGACCAAAAGTGTTGAAGAAGGCTGCAGAGGAACTATCCACACCTCCCACTACAACACTTCACAATCATGGTGTCCCCCTTGTGACATGATCATGGCCAAGCTGAGGCCAGCATTGAAGTCCTAGAGGCGACTCCTGCTTTACATTCTCAAGAGCCCATTGTCAAGACTTGCGTTAGTCTTGGGGCTCTGATCCATGCTCGTTTGAATGAAGGTGGTATGGGAAGCAGAGGATGGTGCCAAGAGGCAAAGGGACAAGGCATGGGTTTAGAGGTCCCCATTTTTCCACTGGTAGGCCTGGATAACTTCTGTCTCCTTATTGGCCCATGTGGAGTGAGGCTCTGGGATTTATGGGGTGGGGCAAGGAGGACTCTCTCACTGGGCAGGAATGGGTGGCTCCACTCACCAGCGCTGATATCTGAGATTACAGGGGTTCGAAATTCACCTCAGGTCTATGTTTGCCTTCAGGGAAGGTGTGCGGAAATGGCTTCTGCGCAAGCACATCAGTAGGGTGTTGGCCCAGGGAACCCCCCCAAAGTCAAACACCACCCCCATATCTCATCTTCTGACTCAGCTACCAGTAGAGGAAGGTAGCTTCTCTCCCTTTGATTTGGGGAGGGCAACATTATTGCACTGTATTGTAAAATACTGCCCTTTCACAAGTGACGACAGCTAGTTCTTCACTTCCAGTGGTTAATGGGGAGGTGGAAACAGAGAGAGCCACAGACCTACCTTCTCCTATGGAGTCAGCAAACACCTGTGCCGAGTCGTCTTGTCTTCTCTCAGGTTGTTTTAACCCTCAGTGACGTAACTCTGTAGTATGATGGTTCGCCATGTATAATGATAATCCCCCAACATCTGCAAGTGAGGGTTCCAATACAGAGGACACGGAACATCACTGTCCACATGGTGAGGCCAGCGACAGCTCCCGTCCACAGCTGCTCTCGGAGATCTGGATGGAGTCTGCGCATCTGAGACCACGGTCAACTCAGAGCTAGCTCAGGTGGTCTCAGAAGGTCTGCATGGTTTTCTTCACCAGGATCCAGATTGCACTGGTTTCTGGGGCTGCTTCAATGAAGCCCCAGGCTATGTCTGTGTCCAAGATTCTTTTTTTATAGGGAAACATACAGATCCACTTTATGTCTCCAACTGAACTCCACCAACTGTAAAGATCCGTATTCAAAGGAGCTCACAGGCTGTGTCAGCTGCTGGGGGTCCAGGCTTCAGTATAGTGCGGGCACCTGTAAATGGCCTCACACAGTGTCAAGCCTTCTATATATTATGGTGCAGACACCTGCAAACGGCCTCACAGCCTCACTCTAGGGCAGTGGTTCTTACCCTTCCTAATGCTGTGACCAACCATTTAACACAGTTCCTCATGTTGTGGTGACCCCCAACCATAAAATTATTTTTGTTGCTATTTCATAATTGTAATTTTGTTACTGTTATGATTCGTAACGTAAATATCTGTGTTTCCGGATGATCATAGGTGACCCCTGTAAAAGGGTCACTCAAACTCAAAGGGGTCATGACCCATAGGTTGAGAACCACTACTCTAGGGCCCTTTCTCAGGGACCTGGCTCCCATTTTTGCTGAGGAACTCTGGGTCCCACATCAGCTCTGCCTTGGCTGTTTACAAAGGAGCTGGAGATCAAAGCCCAGATCCTTACGTTTACACAGCATACGCTTCCTAGCTACATAGCTTTGTTTTAAATTGACAAGGTAATTTCACATGTTTATAGGGTGTAGTATGATGTTTCAGTATGGGAGCCGTGTGTAATGATGAGATGGAGGCAACCAGCCTATCTGTCCCCTGACACCATCATCTTTCAATGTCAACAACACTAGGGTCCATTCAACAGTTATCAGCTATGGCTGTCCTACTGTGTGTCTAAGAATCTCCCTTCTAACTGTTCCCCATGCCCTTCATCCACCTTCCCCAAACCTCCCTCCCAACACCCTAGCCAGCCGCTGTGCCCTTGGTCGCCACAGTGAGACCAACTGTTCAGCTTCTCCATGTGAGTGAGAGCCTGCAGTGTTTGTCTTTCTGTACCGGGCTCATTGCTATGAACGCAGTGTCCTCTGCTTCATTCTCAGTCCACAAATGATAGGAGAGTCAACACTTTTAAACTGGCGTATATACATTTATAGTTAGGGTTTCACAGACATTCTAATACAGGTGTGCCCTGTATTAGACTGTGTTCAGCCCTCTTTTCCTCTCCTTTCCTAGTCCTTTGTTCCTCTTAACACCACATATTTTTACACACATATTACATATGTGTGATTTTTACATATGAGTATAAAATCTAGCATTTACAAAAAGGAGAAAACTTGAGACTCCTCAGCCCGACTTTTTGCTTACATTGACCTCTAGTCTCCTCTATTTTCCTGCAGATGACAAAATATCATCCTTTTTATGGCTGAATAAACCTTACTGTGTATATGACCATTACTTATTTACGTACTCATCTATTGATAGACACCATGGTCGATTCTGTGTGGTGGTTATTTCTAGTGCTGCATTAAATGCAGATGTGTGGGTGTCTCTGTTGTGTGTTGATTTCAAGTTCCTTGGGAGTAGTACAGCTAGGTAATATGCTAGTTCTGTCTTTAGTGTTTTGAGGAAACTCCACGCTGATTTTTTTAAATTAAAAAATATTTAGTTTTTTCATGTGTGTGCATGTTTTGTTTACATGTATATCTGTGTACCATGTGTGTGCATGGTGCCTTTGGAAGCTATAAGAGGGCATAGGATGCCTTGGAGTTGGAGTTATAGGAGAAGAGGGTGGGGATTCTACTCTGACTCAAGCTCTCCTCCCCAAGAGTCTTTGGGGGCTTACTTAGTATGATCCTCTTCCAGGCTACTTCCTTCCTTCCTTCCTTCCTTCCTTCCTTCCTTCCTTCCTTCCAAGTCTTCACAGCAACCTTCATGCCTATTGAAGCTGTGGTCTTGGAGCTGGGCCACTCCAAGAATAAAACAAAGTCCCTGCTGTCACAACCTTCCAGTCTAGGGGAGGGGTATAAATAATGAGCAGATATATGGAGTGGCTGCATGTGCTAGCTCATGAGATCAATATTGAAGGCAGAGGTGGAGGGTGAGTCAGAGCACTGGGGACAAGGCATCCTCTTAGAGACCTGTGAACCCAGGAGGTGGGATGCCTTTTGGGAGCACTGGGGCAGAGGCTGGAGGACAGGGAGCAGCAGGGCGAGCACACTGTGTCTGCTTCCCATTTAGCTCTTGTATACGATTGCTTTTCCTTTTCTTTTCTTCTCTTTCCTTTTCTTTTCCTTTCTAAAAGGGCTCCACTACAAGTGGAATAACAGATGCTATGGCCACAGCATCCGCAATATTCCTGTTCTAGTCTTAAATATAAAAATAGAAAGAATAGGCTGGGTGTTGGTGGCACACGCCTTTAATCCCAGCACTGGGGAGGCAGAGGCAGGTGGATCTCTGAGTTCGAGGCCAGCCTGGTCTACAGAGTGAGTTCCAGGACAGGCTCTAAAACAACACAGAGAAACCCTGTCTCAAAAACAAACAAACAAACAAACAAAAAACCCAAAAAACAAAACAAAACAAAACAAAAAAAGGAATCACTTAGGTGAGCTCAAGACAAATGTGCAGCACCTTGATGGGGACTCTGTGTTCTTGCCAAGTTTTCAGGGCCTGGAGTTGTCACTGGGACAGGCCCCCACTGAACAGGCTTCCTCAGTAAGGGACCCAACCCTTGCTCACATACGCATGTAAAAGGATGGAGGGAATGCCCGAAAGATGCAGCCTAGAGGAGAATCCCTGTAGTGGAAAGAACCACGCCAGCAGGGAGCTAGCCCATTATTTCCCCCTCTCATCTTGTCCAGTCACACACTTCCTGTCACCAGGTCACCTGGTGACACCATGCACATGCCCACTTTGGAAACACAGGGCCAGCAGATGGGGGCTCATTGGCTCTTCCTGGATCACTTGGAAGGGGCATTGTTGGGCCAGGCCCTTCCTGTGGTCTCTTGCTATGAATCAGCTCTGGCTGAGGAAGCAATGTTAAGCCAGCAGGAGAGCTTTACTAATACCACCGGGTCTGGGTCAAGGCCATGCCAGGGGAGATACACTGGCTACCCAGTGTATCTTACGAGAGGGATTAGCCTTCCCTATCACACTCTCAGCCCGTGACTGCATCTTAGAAACACCTTGTAATCTTAATCAGCGTGGTCCCTCCTTTGACAAACGCTATCTCACTCTAGGCAAATAGGCCAGCACTATAAAGCCAAGAACTCGGGCAGAGGCTCACCTGTCACTCGTGGTCTTCCTGTGAAGCTGCCATGGAGCACAAGGTGGCCTGTGTCCTCGCCATGGTCCTCATGCTGGCCCTCAGCAGCCTCGCCCAGGACCAGGCAGGTAAGTCCAGTCCTCTCGCTTCCTGCTGACCACAGCTGTAGACCCTGGGCCCAGAGGCTGTTGTGATCTGTTATTCCCAGTCTTGCCCTGTGCAGCCACCAGTCTGGGCCCTTGAAGGCCATTATCCTGTTTATAAGGTCACAAAAGCTGGGAAGTACGGAGCAGTGAGGTGAGGCCCTGGGGCTTATGAGATTGCAGGGCGGATGGAGCTTCTTCGGCTGGGCTCCTGCTTCCCTGGTTGATGTCAATGTCATACTGTTCTTAGAGCCTCAACTCCAAATGCAACATTCCACGTGGTTTAGAGTGAGGCCCAGCACTTCCACAGGCATCTGCCAGCCAGCCTCTCCCTGGCAGGCAGCCCCGCCCAAGAACTTGTGACTAGGCCTTCAATAGATGCATCCATATCGTGGGCCCCTGGGTCCCTAGGATGCATCCGGCTCTGGGATCCAACCCCCTCCTGAAGCCCTGTGTCATCCACCTGGCCCACAACCCTCCTGGGGATAGAGAGCCTTGTGGTCTGTAGAATGGGAATAGTGCCGCACAGGCGTGCGACAGTGGCCATGTGGGAGCTGCAATTCCCTGGCTGTGAAGAGCTCGATTCTTAGACACAGCATTAAGGAAGAGGGAACAGGAAAGTTTCCAAGTGTAGGATTTCTACAAGCATGAGAGAAGATTTAAGAGCACTCTGTTTATCTTCCAGCACCTCCTGTGCCCCTTCAGTGGAAGCAGGTATTTGGGAGAGCAGGGAGGAGGGGGCACCATGTCACTGCCTAGACCCCTCTGCACCAGCCTGTGGCAGGGAACAAGGAGCCAGCAGGGATGAACCTGAGGGAGAGATGGCTTTGCAGTAGACGGGGAAGGGTGAGGGTTACCTCCCTCTGCTGTTCTGTGCTCTCTCCAGCCCCCCCCCCAATTCCATCCATCATACAGTCTCCCTGCTTTCCTCTGCCCCATTCCCTGGACCTGGACTCAACATCTGTTTCTGGGTCACATGGTGCCAATGACCCTGTGTCCATAGAGATGCATCTGTAGATATGTAAAGACATACCCTATAGAATGTAGTGGCTGCCTGTGCCGTTCCCGAAGGGAACTTGGCTTTTAATAATTCCCTCGTGAGCACACATGTGTGAGCAGGACAGAGATCTTTAAACCCTGCTGGGAAAGGGAGTTGGAGGCCACAGGAGAGCAGAAACATCCCTCCTCTCCTGGATGCTGATTCTCCATGACTTATGGGCTCCTTGTGACCCCCCCATCTGTCCTGTTGGGTGTCCTGTGGTCACCTTAGCTTTATAATAGAACCATAGCTAGGAGGCTGGTGCCCCCTCGGAGGCCACCAGCAAGTGTCGGACAGGTCCTGATCTTATCCTGAAAGATAGGAGCCAGTTCTTTGAGAATGTTTCAGTAGATTCCCACAAGAAAACAGGTCCGGGAGCGGGCCCTGATGGATGCCCAGGCCTCTGGACTCTGATATGTGCTTGGGACACCTATTGTCATCTACTCAGCCTCCTCTAATGAGGAACTGTTTCTGCTTCGTTTAGTCTATGGTCCTCCACCACCCCCTGCCCCGTTTGCTCCCTCGACTCCCCCCTGCCTGAGTGCTACCACCATCCCCGTGCTTATCCCGTTTGCACACTGGGATAATTGTGCTTTGTGGTGCAAGTCCTCCTTGGGACTGTTAGTCTCTGAATCTAGGTCTAGGTTGGAGGGTCAGACCTGTAAACCTGGCAAGGGGTTCTCTTTTACTTGGCTGTTTGTCAAACCTGAAGCAAAGATACATCCTTGGGAACACTCACTAGCTTCTTGGCACAAAAGGAAGGGGATGGCAAGACCTCTGTTTTCATCTCTGTATTCTGTCACGGGGCACAGCGTCTGGCTTTTGGCAAGCCAGTTCCTATATGTAGCCAGAATGCACACTGCTCAGTAAGTGTTTATTCATCAGGCAAGTACAGTTCACTGACCAGGTGCAGAAGTTAATAAGTGGACAGTACATCCATCACCGAACAGGTGCAGCTGTGCAAACCTGGGCCCTGGAACTGACCCCAGCATCAGTCTTCCTGCATCTGCAAATGAGGACCGTACCCCTTTGCCTATTCAAACCTGGCTCCCAGCAGAGAAGGAAGCAGCCAAGAGTGTGGACAACTTCAGGAATCTAGCCCATGACTTTGCTCTGCTTTTTGTCTTCTCTTTAGAAACATGTACCATGACTCCCGGAGAAAGGATAAATTGTGGCTTCTCTGGCATCACCCCCCAGCAGTGCAAGGAAAGAGGTTGCTGTTTCGATAACACTATCCGGGGGTTTCCATGGTGCTTCCAACCTCTACCCATCGAAAGCCCTCCAGAAGGTATAGTCACTTCTCAACGTAGTAGGGCACGAGGGAGAGCTACATGAGACTCAGTGTCACTGGTGGGTCCCTGGATGCCCGTGACATGGTGGAATCCTGGTCTAGGCATGAAAGGCCCGAGCTGAAAGTCTGGCAATGGAGGGCCCACTTTTACTTGGCAGTCTGTAGAGTCTGAACCCAAGCTACATCCTTGGTGAATGCTCGCTGGAGCAGGAGTGAAGGGGATGGCAAGAAAATGCCATGCCAGCCTCCTCTGTGTGCATTTGTGTAAGTGCTGTGTGCATGCCGGTACATGTGCACAGTGTATAGGTGTGTGCGGAGGCCAGAGGTCGACCTCACGCATCATCACTCAGGAGCTGCCCACCCTCTTTCCTGAGACAGGGTCCCTCTCTGGGATGACTCGATGGGCTGGTGAGCAAGCCTCAGGGACCCTTCTGTCTCTTTTCATCTCCGCAGTCCTGGGATAGCAAGCATGTACCACAGTGTACCTTCCTGTGTGAAGGTGGGGATCGATCTCAGATCCTCTTGCTTGCAAGGCGACCACTTCGCCAACTGAGCCAGTTCCCCAGTCCTGACAGTTTGCATTTCAGGAAGAATTTCCCTGTTGGCACTTTGAGTCAAAGCTCCCTGCAGCTGTTTAAAGAGAAAGACAACACTCATGAGTACCTTTTGCTCTTCTCCCTTTAGAGGAATGTCCCTTCTAGAGCCCATCCAAGAGAGCTGGTTGCGTCCAGACTTGGCATCACCACCCGCACCTGGGCACCTGAGCCACCCGGCCCACTACTGCATATACACCTGTTCTGTGGCTGAATCTGGCCTGGTGACACAGTTCAACCTCTCTGACTTTTAGAACTCAAATTTGGCCTGAGAAATAAAAGACATGAAATGATATTTTGTGTTCTTCACCCTTTTTTTTTTTTAATACAAGCTGTTTTCCTCTCTCTGATAGTCAAATGCAACATGTTGGCTACTGATTCCTTGTCATAGATCAACCCATAGCTGGAACTGTGTAGGGGAGGCAGGAGCGGGTAGCTGGGAGGGTGGAGTGGGTGTGATAGATACATCTTGTAGCTGATGCATTGCTACTGGTTGTCATTGGTGTCCAGACCAAGGACAGAGGTCTCAGGGTTATGCTGAGGAACCTCACAGGCTTCCAGCACAAGTGCTCCAACAGTCCTCCCCCGTGAGTGCTCCTCAGACATTGGGGTGAGGAGGGACTGACCAAGAGCTGAGACCCATCTTCCAATGCCACTAAGAGTTGTTGTTAACTCTAACAAACCAGGATCAGTCTCTGGTCCTCAGGAGGACCACTAAAGACACAACAATGGAAAGCAGAAGAAAGAGGTTTGTTTAATGTGGCCACATTGGGAAGAGGAACAAAGAGGCCCAGTGACCTTCCATCCCTAGTTCATCTTTGGCATCCGGACATGAGGTTTAGGCTTAAATAGGCAAGAATTGTGCATAGCTAAGCAATATGGTCAAAGTGTGATTCTGTTCACTGTGGCATCCGCGCCACGACTAAGTCTGAGCATCGGGCAAAAGCCTGGAGATTTAGTTAAAAGCAGAGACATCGGTCTGTGCTAGATATGTCTTTCCATCTTTATTTCTCTTCCTTATTCCAGGGAGAGAGCAGCCTTATATACACTTACAGCACAGTGGAGAAACCCCAGGTGTAAGAGCTCATGGAAGAAGAGCTCGGGTTTTCCCAGGTGTAGTAGGGTGAGGCCAGGGCTGTAAGCCAGGACTAGAACACAGGATGCACCTATGGTTATTGGCTGACAAGCAACTCACAGAGACCCTGTGGGGGCTGGGGCCCAACAGTTCACCACCTTGTCTAGGCTCCAGTTTCTCAGGCAAGGCGGTCTGACAAGTTCCCCAGGCTTCAGCTTTTCTTCCCCCACATGAGATTCCTGGGGGAGTTCTCATTTCTTGGGGGTGTATGTCTCAATCTGGTAACCAAATGAAGGGACACAGCGGTCTCTGCAACATCTTCACTCCTGCTAGCGCAGCCACACTAATGCCTTTCCTACCCCCAACGGAAACTGGCTTAGGATGTGAGCCCACGGTCACATGACTGAATGAGTTAATAAAAAGATGGTGTGGTCTTGCATCAAACCCGCTCCCAACAAACAAACAAAACTGGAGAATAGAATAAGAGCCAAGAGATGCAGAGGCTGGAAGTCTCCTCCTCACCTTATCTCGAACAAATACAGGGACACAGGGTCCTCCAGAGCTGCCAATGCCACTGCCAGTCTGGTGTGGCTATGACAGATGGGCAGCCTCATTGAGGGGGATCACAGTGCCACAAGCTCTAAGAGCTTTCATCGGGTAAGGAAAGGGGACTCTTAGAGGCTGTCAGCCCACTCCAGGGAGCACAACTAAGCAGTCCGGGGCATCCAGATCCCTCCTCCCACAGGACTCCTAGGAGATTATTGCATATGGTTCACAGGAGGAAGAGGGGAGGACTGAACCCTGTGGGGGCATCTCTCTCTTTCTGTTAGTCAGACATCAGGATGAGGAGTAGAGGGGTGAGAGCAACCAGGAGAAGTACTTGGGACAGAAGGAGTCTGGCCCCTATAACAAGTGAACACAGTCATCCTTCAGTGTCCTCTGGGAGACAAGCTCTAGGAGCTTTCAAGGACAGCAAACTCTGTGAACTCACAATACCCTTAGGTAGAATGGTGTGGTAACATGCACACAACTGACATTGTCTTCTTACATGGCCGGGATATCCAGTTACTCAAAATACTAGCAACAGTGGAAGCACAGTCCTCAATATCGGTGTTACCACATCTTTTGGAGAGTGATGACAAGAAAAGGGATCTGTACGTACTCACAATTAGAGCTCATGGATACTGGCAGCTGACGGCACCCATGCGCTACAATCGCATGTTCTGTGTCATACATGTGCTACTGGGATCAGAGGGATGCTCCTCACCTCTCCGGTATGTCTGGAGACTACCTAATCATACAGTCTGCATTCGTTATTTAAATTGTTGCTACAAGAAAATACCCAACAAAAGCCACTTAAGGAAGGAGAGCTTGGATTGGGCTTGCAGTTGCAGGGCACACAGTCCATCATGGTGGGAAAGGCATGGAGGTGCGCGCTTGAGGGGTCACATTCCATCTGCAGTCAGGAAGCAGAGAGAGCTACATGTTGCTGCTCACCCAGCTTTCTTCTTCCTATTCAGTATAGGGCTTGCCCTGAGAATGGTGTCTTTCACAGTTATGCAGGTCTTCCCATGATGGTTAACATAATTTAGAAACTTCTCCGTGGGCATGCCCAGAGATTTGTTTTCATGGAGACTCTAAATCCTGTCAGGTTGACAATTACTTTCTTATTGCTGTCTGACTAAGGCAATCTATAGAAGGAAAAGTGTATTGAGCTTACATTTCCAAAGAGATGAGTCTACCATGGCAGGGAAGCATGATAGCCAGATGCAGGTGTGGTGTTGGGAGCGCCCATTTCCAAATGGGCAGGAAACAGAGAGAGCAAACTGGAAGCAGCACAGGGCTTTTCATTTCAAGTGACATACTTCCTCCAGCAAAGCTGCACCCACCTCCTAAACCTCCCCAAGGACTGACGCCAACTAGGGACCAAGTGTTCAAATACCTAAAATGGTTCTCATTCAAGCTACCACAGCCTCTGTTGCTGGTGAGAGATGAACTGTCTTCCGTAGGACCCCATAAACCTCAAACTGGGAATAATCGACACAACCTCTTTGGGCCACAGTCCTGGGTCAAAGAGCTGAGGGTCTGCATCATGCCGCTCCCTCCCACATTTTGCTGAGCCATGCATGAGGCGACTGCTCCCGTGTCCTCTAAAAAGGCCAACAGCAGGTACACCTCATGCTGTCTCCTCCCAGCAACTCTTCAGTGGCAAGAAGGGGGCTTCCCATGACATCTCGCAGCTGGTCTGTTCTTGGGGTACTTGCCTCCCACAGTCCCCTTCTTTCTCAACTAGCCTTCACTCATGGAGAATGAGGAAAATTACTCCCTTTCCAGACCCTCTCAGCTAGGGGCATTCCCAATCCAAGGGGGTGTCTGTGTGAAGGCTGTGGGGAAGGAACTTAGAAATTTTCTACCTTGTTGAAGAAACAGTGTCTTCTGGCTCCCCGGACAGCCCTGAAGCCTACCGTTGGCTGCTATGGTAGGAAGGTATAACGTGTTGCAGGCAGTCATTCTGTCATAATGAGTTGGAAGAGCCCCGAGCTAGAGTCTCCACTTCCTTGAGCTGTTGACTCAACCTCCCCACCACACACTCCCAGACTTTGTGTTAAGTAAACTCAAGTGTTGTTAGAGCTTAAACCATTGGATACTGGGATTTCTACAGGAACTCAGCACATTCCCGAAGCCGGCATCTTCCTTCATAATCGATGAATCTGCTTAGCGAGCAGATTTGGCAAGTCGCATGGCCAGCATGCCCAGCAGATCAAGGTGACTAAAGACAGATGTTTATTTTTTGTTTTGCACAGGACCAGTGTGTCTGCTTCCTACACCCGACCTTCATGAAGGGTCTGGTCTGATGGTGCAGCTGCATGGTGAATGTGGGTGAAGCCATCAGGGGTTTCTCTTAGCCTACAGAGCCTGTGCAGCAAAGGAAGCCGAAGCTGACCTAAGAGCCATCACTCCTCCGAAGGACCCAGTCAGTCACACAGCAAGCTGAGCAGCTGATGGCATTTGACTCTGATTCTTAGGACTGGACTCACTCAGTGCCGACCTTCATTTGTAAGGTTGTAATATACTGTTTCCATCCTGGTCTGCCTGCTCTTGGGGCCAGTTCTGATGAGAGGTTCTCCACTCCCAAGAAACAGTGCTTGGATTTTGCTTTTGAACTTCCTTTTCCTTTTACAAACAGCATTACTGATGATGTTAAAGCCACAGTGTAGGACAGTATCCCATCTGAGGGGTCAATGTGTACTTGATAGCCTTTTAAATTTAGTGCAAACCATGGATAATAGAAATGCTTATGTTCCTTTCCTAAGAGATTTTACTTGTGTGTGTGTGTGTATGTGTATGAGTGTGTGTGTGTGAGTGTGTGTGTGTGTGTCCTGTGTGCAGGTGCCTCAGGAGGCCAGAAGAAGATGTCAGATCCCCAGGAGCTAGAGTGGCAGCTGTGGGTCCTGGGTACTAGATTTTAGTCTTCTGCAAGATCAGCAAGCATTCTTTATTGCTCACCCAGCTCTCCAGCCCCAGCTGATTTTTTTCAGGGTCTATAGAGCTCTAGGGTGCTCTACACCTGTGCGAATTACTGGCATAAACACACAGGTTGATGCAAAGCCCCAGGAATGGTTTTTACTTTAAAATTCTATTTCAACAAAATTGCTCTTTGGGCTCATTGTCTTGTCAGAGTATGAATTAGCACTTCTGGTGGCAGGAGTAACACCCCCCTCTGTGAGGACCACTGCTGTGATGTCTATTTAATTAAAGCACACTGTCCCACCTTCCATGCACTTAAAAAAATCACAATTACAGCCATGCTTTCAAACACGGTGACTCCGTTTCTAAAGGCAGAGTTTCTGCTGGCGTGTGCAGTGACACGCCCCTAAGTACAGGGTGGCATGGCTGTGTGTGTACACAGGCCACCTCCTCGGGGATACAGAAACAGGGATCTGATTTTGAACAGCAATTAGTGCCACAGTGCTGCTTAAGCTATTAATGATGAAAATTAATAGCGTGTTGTGCAATCGCCACGTCACCCAGTCATTAATCTCTGCAGCTGGGTCGATGCTGGGGCCCACCCATCCTTTGTGGACAGAGCTCTGCCCTGTACTCGTGGCCCCTCTGCTTTTTTGGCTTCTGTTCCCTACTTTGCAAGGAACCTGAGGCTTACGAATGAGAACTAGGGAG